TGAATTTAGCTAACCAAAGAGGCAAAGGATCTGTACTCAGAAAACTAGAAAATACTCATGAAAGAAATTGAGGAAGACACAAAGAAATGGAAAAACGTTCCATGCTCATGGATTGGAAGAACAAATATTGTGAAGATGTCAATGCTACCTAGAGCAATCTACACATTCAATGCAATCCCCATCAAAATACAATCCACTTTTCTCAAAGAAATGGAACAAATAATCCTAAATTTTGTATGGAACCAGAAAAGACCCCACATAGCCAGAGGAATGTTGAAAAAGAAAAGCAAAGCTGGCGGCATCACAATTCCGGACTTCCAGCTCTATTACAAAGCTGTCATCATCAAGACAGTATGGTACTGGCACAAAAACAGACACATAGATCAATGGAACAGAAACAAGAGCCCAGAAATGGACCCTCAACTCTATGGTCAACTCATCTTTGACAAAGCAGGAAAGAATGTCCAATGGAAAAAAGACACTCTTCAACAAATGGTGTTGGGAAAATTGGACAGCCACATGCAGAAGAATGAAACTGGACCATTTCCTTACACCACACACAAAAATAGACTCCAAATGGTTGAAAGACCTCAACGTGAGATAGGAGTCCATCAAAATCCTAAAGGAGAACACAGGTAGCAACCTCTTCGACCTCAGCCGCAGCACCTTCTTCCTAGAAACATTGCCAAAGACAAGGGAAGTGAGAGCAAAAATGAACTATTGGGACTTCATCAAGATAAAAAGCTTTTGCACGGCAAAAGAAACAGTCCACAAAACCAAAAGACAATCGACAGAATGGGAGAAAATATTTGCAAATGACCTATCAGATAAAGGGCTAGTATACAAAATCTATAAAGAACTTCTTAAACTCAACACCCAAAGAACAAATGATCCAATCAAGAAATGGGCAGAAGACACGAACAGACATTTTTCCAAAGAAGACATCCAAATGGCCAACAGACACATGAAAAAGTACTCAACATCACTGAGCATCAGGGAAATCCAGATCAAAACCTCAATGAGATACCACCTCACACCAGTCAGAATGGCTAAAATTAACAAGTCAGGAATCGACAGAAATTGGCAGGGATGCAGAGAAAGGGGAACCCTCCTACACTGTTGGTGGGAATGCAAGCTGGAGCAGCCACTCTGGAAAACAGTATAGAGGTTCCTCAAAAAGTTGAAAATAGAGTTACCATACGATCCAGCAATTGCACTACTGGATATTTACCCCAAAGATACAAATGTAGGGATCCGAAGGGGTATGTGCACCCCAATGTTTATAGCAGCAATGTCCCCAATAGCTAAACTGGAAAGAGCCAAGATGTCCATCAACAGATGCATGGATAAAGATGTGGTGTATATATACAATGGAATATTATGCAGCCATCAAAAGGAATGAGATCTTTCCATTTGTACCAACGTGGATGGAACTGGAGGGTGTTATGCTGAGCGAAATAAGTCAATCAGAGAAAGACATGTATCCTATGACCTCACTGATATGAGGAATTCTTAATCTCAGGAAACAAACTGAGGGTTGCTGGAGTGGTGGGGGGTGGGAGGAATGGGGCAGCTGGGTGATAGACATTGGGGAAGGTATGTGCAATGGTGAGCGCTGTGAATTGTGCAAGACTGTTGAATCACAGGTCTGTACCTCTGAAACAAATAATACATTATATGTCAAAAAAAAAAAAAAGAAGAAGATAGCAGGAGGGGAAGAATGAACGGGGGGAAATCAAAGGGGGAGATGAACCATGAGAGATGATGGACTCTGAAAAACATACTGAGGGTTCTAGAGGGAGGGGTTGGGAGGATGGGTTAGCCTGGTGATGGGTATTAAAGAGGGCACGTTCTGCATGGAGCACTGGGTGTTATGCATAAACAATGAATCATGGAACACTACATCAAAAACTAATGATGTAATGTATGGTGATTAACATAACATAATAAAAAAAATCATTCACCACAAACAAGTGAGATTTATTCCTGGGTTGCAAGGATGGTTCACTATTTGCAAATCAATCAACATGATGCATCACATCAATAACAGAAAGGATAAGAACCCTAGGATCATTCCAATAGATACAGAAAAATCATTTGACAAAGTACAACATCCTTTCATGATAAAATCCCTCAACAAAGTAGGCTAGAGGGAACATATCTCAACATAATAAAGGCCATCTATGAAAGACCCAAAGCTCACATCATCCTCAATGGGGCAAAACTGAGCTTTTCCTCTAAGGTCAGAAATAAGTCAAGGATGTCCACTCTCACTACTTTTATTCAACATAGAACTGGAAGTCCTTGCCATAGCAGTCAGACAACAAAAAGAAATAAAATGCATCCAAATCAGTAAGAAAGAATTAAAACATTTATTATTTGCAGATGAGATAATACTATATATAGAAAACCCAAAAGACTCTACCAAAAAAAAAACTGCTAGAACTGATAAACCAATTCAGTAAAGTCTCAGGAAATAAACTCAATGCACAGAAATCTGTTGCATTTCTATATACTAGTAATGAAGCAGCAGAAAAAGAAATCAAGGAATCGATCCCATTTACAATTGCACTGAAATTCTTAATGTACCTAGGAATAAACCTAACCAAAGAGGTAAAAGATCTGTACTCTGAAAACACTTATAAAAGAAATTGAAGAGGATACAAAGAAATGGAAAAACATTCCATGTTTATGGCTTGGAATAAGCCATTGTTGTTAAAATGTCTATATGACTCAAAGCAATCTATAAATTTAATGCGATCTCTATCAAAATACCACCAGCATTTTTCACAGAGCTAGAATAAACAACCCTAAAATTTGTATGGAACCACAAAAGACCCCAAATAGCCAAAGCAATATTGAAAAAGAAAAGCAAAGCTGGAGGCATCATGATTCTGGACCTCAAGCTATATACAAAGCTGTAGTCATCAAGACAGTACAGTACTGGCACAAAAACAGACACATAGATCAATGGAACAGAATGGAAAACCCATAAATAGACCCACAACTCTATGGTCAACTAATCTTCGACAAAGCAAGACAGAATATCCAATGGAAACAAGACAGTGTCTTCAACAAATGGTGTTGGGAAAACTGGACAGCAACATGCACAAGAATGAAACTAGAACACTTTCTCACACCATACACAAAAATAAACTCAAAATGAAATCAGACCTAAATGTGAGACAGGAATCCATCAACATCCTAAAGGAGAACACAGGCAGCAACCTCTTTGACCTTGGCTGAGGCAATTTCCTACTAGACACGTCGCCAGAGGCAAGGGAAACAAAAGCAAAAATGAACTATTGAGACTTCATCAGGATAAAAACTTCTGCACAGTGAAGGAAACAATCAACAAAACTATTGACAACCTAGAGAATGGGAGAAGATATTTGCAAATGACATATCTGATAAAGGGTTAGTATCCAAATATATAAAGAACTTATAAAACTCAACAACCAGAAGACAAATAATCCAGTTAAGAAATGGGCAGAAGACATGAATAGACATGTTTCCAAAGAAGACATACAGCTGGCCAACATACACATGAAAAGATGCTCAACATCACTCATCATCAAGGAAATACAAATCAAAACTATGATAAGATGCTACCTTGCAGCTGTCAGAATGGCTAAAATCAACAACACAGGAAACAACAGATGTTGGCGAGGATGTGGAGAAAGGGGAACCTTCTTACGCTGTTGGCAGGAATGCAAACTGGTGCAGCCACTCTGGAAAACAGTATGAAGGTTCCTCAAAAGTTAAAAATAGAACTACCCGATGACCCAGCAATTGCACTACTAGGTATTTATCTAAAAGATACAAAAATAGTGATTCGAAGGGGCACATGAACCCCAGTATTTATAGCAACATTATCAACAATAGCCAAACTACAGAAAGAGCCTAAATGTCCATTGACTGATGAATGGATAAAGAAGATATGGTGTATAGATATACAATGGAATAACACTCAGCCATCAAAAAGAATGAAATCTTGCCATTTTCAATGACATGGATGGAGTTACACTGTATTATGCTAAGCAAAATAAGTCAGTCAGAGAAAGACAAATACCATATAATTTCACTCATGTGGAATTTAAGAAGCAAAACAGATGAACATACGGGAAGGGAAAAAAAGAGAGAGAGATATTGAGGGAAGAAAACCATGAGAGACTCTTAACAACAGAGAACAAACTGAAAGTGGATGGAGGGAGGTGGGTGCAGATGGGCTAAGTAGGTGATGGGTATTAAGGAGGACACTTGTTACAATGAGCACTGGGTATTATTATGCAAGTGATGAATCAATAATTCTTTCCTACCCAGATGTCATTCAGGTATTTTCCTATATTTTCTTCCAAATGTTTTTTAGGTCTTTAATCCATCTGTATTGATTTTATGCTTGGTGTGAGGTAGGGGTTCAATTTTAATTATTTTCACATTAAAATTACTAAATATCCCATTACCATTTACTGAAAGTCTGCTCTTTCCCTTCTAATCTATAGTATTTGTTATATCAATTAATGTGCATATGTGCATGGGTCAATTTCTGTTGCATGTTTTCATATACATAATTTTTGATGAAAAAGGTTATACAAACCTAAATTTGTTGTCAAAAAAATCTCATTTCATTAACATATAAAAAATGCTACTTTTGACTTGATATATTATATTGTTAATCTGTGACAGATCTGCTGTCATTCGTTAGCCCAAATTTCTCTGATTAATCATATCAAGAAAACTAAAACCTTAAAGCCAAACTTCAACAAATCTATTTCTAAATATTTTTAGAATGGGCTATAAACCTGAGTCTTAATAGTTAGTCCCTCTTTTCTGGTATTTATCTCTCCACTTCAGATATTTAATCCCTACTACAGAGCCTTTTTATCTCTTAAATAAAGTTTTGCATGGCTTATATCCATTATGTAATACAATAAAAAAAAAGAAACATCAAAAATAGTCATACCAAAAATTTTGTCTATTGAAGCATTTGAAGGCAATGTGCAATTAAACACAGTAAACTGTCTTTTTAAACGTTGGGGAATATCATTTCGACCACCTCCAGGGTGGATCATTGCTGCTATGATCTGCACATCAACAATAGTAGTGAAGTCTCCAGGCTTATCCAAGCTATACATTCCTTCCATTTCCATCATTTGTCGCACAATCTCGTTAGTTATCTGAAATTTTATACAGTGATACTTTAGTAACATATCACTATCATATTCCTCCACAACTCCTATAAAATAGTACACTTGAGATTAGAAAAAAATATTCAACTCTTGTCAATGAAATGTTTGTGAAAGTTGATGGTCACCTGCAAGGCAATTTGATTTAAATGCTACCACTCATGCACAAAACCATAAGCTAAACATCTGGATTGAGTCCAGTGTGCTCTTTACCACGTTGATAAAATGGATCTCCAAAGAAATTTAAATAGGCGAGTTATGGAATAGTTGGCACAATTACAACAGTAGTCAGAGTTACAAGTATCAACATTCAACACTTCAAACTACTTTAAATCAGAATGTGGGATGGGAGCCTTCAATACTACTGAATGTTTTGGGTTTGGGCTTTATGTTCCTATCTTTCTTTTCTGCAGCCTCTAACACTGCTAACACTCCCTCCTCATTGAAAACTTTTCCTCTTTTGAATTCAGAGGCTCAGTTCTTTCCAGGTTCATCTTGAGACTCTGGATCACTTCCCAAGCCACTCTTTCTCCACCCATCCCTCACATGTATCTATAGGGTTCTATCATTGACTCTTTCTCTTCTTGCTATTTCAAGGGCCATGCAGAGTTGTTTGAGGAATAGTCTTAGGGTGAGCATGGACCTCGGAGTCCTGACTTCCTACAGGTATCTGAGGTGGACTCAGATAAAAGGCCAGATGGGATGGGTCCTGGCAGGCTCTAGGTAGACATTACTGATGAGGCAGTGGGCAGTGGTGGGAGGGAGATGTTGGGAATCCCACGAGGAACGTGCAGAATTCCGAAAGCATCAGTGAGGTTCTCTGATGGAGAATGACTGTGGGGTTGACAGATGATGACAAGGAAGACATGTGTGTGATAGAGTTAAAAAGAAAAAAAAAGTGGTTTTCTAAATCAAGTATTCCTCAGAGGGAGTATATAGAGTAAGAAGTAACAGAAGTAAAACCCTGAGGAAAGGAAGAGAGGAGCCAGAACGGGTGCTGAAATCAAGAAGCCTGAAGGCAGGAAGGAGTATTGCTGAAAAACACACAGGGATTTCAAGAAGGGAGAATGCCAGCTATTAACAGAGAAGCCAAAAAAGACCGAACTGCTACTAGGCTTCGTAAGACAAAGGCTATTGACACATTTATTTATAACCAAAAATACTGATTAAATATCATTTATAGGAGATATTTCAGTCATACCTGATCTCCCCATTCATTAATCAGAGGCATATTAATATCATCAATAAATACTGTCATTTTTCTGCCTCCTGGTGGCCCATATGTGCTTCCCATTCGCTTATCCACGTAGCTTTCCATCGTTCTCTAGAGAAGAGGAGATGTTTGTCTTAAGCGTTAGATTTCAACCCATATTCCTAGAAATGATGAGCATGTCTTTCAGAGGAGAACTGAGTTATTTAATATGCATAAATATCATTATTAAAATATACATTGTAATATTGCAAAAAATGTTATTAGAATGTTAATCATTAATTTTATACACAAAGTTCAGCTTCAGCCTCAATATTAGGTCAAAATCTGATGTTTGGATTTGGCCTAGGAAAGCTAATAGCTGAAAGCCAAGTGCAACCCCACTTCATATTAACACACACACACACACACACACACACCAGATTTTATATGCATACACATTTTACTGTAACCAGCACTCAAAACATTTAAGATGTCGATTACCTCAGCAAATGATGGGTTTTACCTGAAACATTATGGGTTCTGTGGCAGATGAAAAGTTTAGACTTTTGGATAACTGTACTTCAGGATCATATTTTTTCAAATAGGCCTTAACCATTACAGTTTTGGCTGTTCCCTGCTCTCCTGTGAGCAAAACGGCCTGCAATAATCAGGTAATCATGTGGAAAGGGGTTAGCTTTAAATATGTCATGGTTCTGGTAGCTATTTTTTCATTGTAATGATTAGTACAACTAATTTTAATTACTTTTTAGAATTAGACCCACATCAAAATAAAATCCTAAAAATAAATAAATAATCAATCACTCCTAGTTCAATTAAAGATTTAAATATAAAATGTGTACTATAAACTGTGCTGGAAGAAAGTATGGGTAAATACTCATGTGACCATGGAAGTAGGGCGGGACTCTGTGAGCAGACACCCACTTCCCTTAGCAAGCTGGAAGTCAGCAGTTCAGGGGATATTGAGTTGGAGTGTATCCCGGGGTTCATTTGCCAAATGTGTTTTCCTTAAATGGCACTACCTCCAACCTCTGTGCTGGAATTTAATTTTTCTATCTGTAGTGTGTGAAAAGGCATGTGTTTTGTATAGGTTTGTGATCAGCTAAGAAACTATCAGACTTACTTTCTGTTGTTTTGCAATGGTGTCTATCAAAAAATTTGTTCTAATATTGTCAACATTTGGAACCAAAATGGATGAATATTCTGGAATACTGTCAGTTGGATAATAATATGGCTGAAGTTTCTTATTCCAGTGTTCCCAATCTCCTACACAATAAGTAAAAATTCATCTTAATAAAACTGCATTCTTTGAAAGTTATCTCAAAATATAAAAAGACAAATGCTATAAACAACCAACAGATTCATATGAACATTTAAAACGTTTTCCAAAAATATGTTAACATATCAGCTTATCTAATATATATATGGCATTTGATCATTTAAATCTGTTTTGCCTCTTTATAAAGTCAGTTTTTAAATTTCTAAATCATTCAACTAGAGAATCTGGCCTGAAATGGAATTAGAATTAGTGGTAAAAACCAATGACATATTTTATATCTGGTAAGAAACCCACAGCAACTGAAAGGATGGGAAAGACCAAAAGGGGGTAACTGATGAGTGGACATAGAATGTTTGCCATGGGAAATGGGTAAAATAAATCTAGCCTTAAAACTAGTTAATAAAGTATTCGGGCTCCTGACTACTAATTTATTAACTGATATTATATAACTAATAATTTACTGGCTGATATTATTGTTATAATTATTATTACCACATTTTATCAATTCTAAAAAAAAGTATTTATATTTTAGCATATATGGAATGTGCCTTACAATCTATGAAGTCTTGTAATCACTATTGGCTAGGCAAACTTGGTCAGAGATGCTCATATTGCTACCATTTAAAATTAGATTACTTGCATTGTTGATATTGCTTTGTTCATTTTAACTGACATTTTAAATGTCTCCAGAAATATTATACTATGATTCAGGATTGTACCAAAAAAAGCTACTATGCACACAGAATGCATGAAAACAGCAAAGGAGCACACATTTGAGAGTAGCAAAGAAAATATTCAGCACTAGAGGAATAACCTCAATTTCACATTTCCTTGCAAAATATCAAGTCATATGTTAAGTGTATGTTTAACTTTCAAGAAACTGAGAAACTGTTTTCCAAAGTGGCTATATTATTGTGTACTATATGAGAGTTCCAATTGTTCCATGTTCTCGCCCATATTTGGTAGAACTAATCTTTTCCTTTCAGTCATTCTAGTGGCTACGTAATGATATCCCATTACAGTTTCAATTTGCATTTCCTTGATAATGATGTGGAATGTCTTTTCATGCATTTTTTTCACTATTTATAAATCTTCTTTCGTAAAGCATGTATTTAAATTTATTGCCCACTTGGCTATTCAGGGTCTTTTCTGGTTCCACACAAATTTTAGGATTATTTGTTCCATTTCTTTGAAAAAAGTGGATGGTATTTTGATGGGGATTGCATTGAATGTGTAGATTGCTCTAGATAGCATTGACATCTTCACAATATTTGTTCTTCCAATCCATGAGCATGGGATGTTTTTCCATTTCTTTGTGTCTTCCTCAATTTCTTTCGTGAGTATTTTATAGTTTTCTGAGTACAGATCCTTTGCCTCTTTGGTTAGCTAAATTCA